GTGTTCCTGCTCTAGCTATCTCTCTCTCTGTCAAATAAATAAATAAAATCTTTAAAAAAAAAAAAAAGAAAAGTGGTGGAAATCTGCCTTTAAAAGACAAAAACAGACAGTTTGGAAAAAAATGAAAAAGAGTGGGTGCCACACAGAGTCCTCAACTAGGGGTGATCCAGGCCCCAGGGGACTCTGGGTAGTGTCCGGGGACATCTGTGGTGGTAAGGAGTGGGGGCTCCTGGCATCGAGTGGGTAGGACCAGGAGGGCTGCTCAAGCCCCACAGAGAACAGTCCGGCCCCAAATGTGAACTGTATACTTAAAATGGTTAGTGTGGTAAACTTTAAGTTGTACGTGTTTTACCACAACTTGAAACGTTCAATTTCACCTGTATCTTGCTTTAGAAAATCGTGGGTGCTGGAAGAATGTGGGAGTCCATGTGCTGTGCCTACATTTCTGTTGCATAGCCCTGGTCTTCGTGCTGACCGACGTTCTTGTTATGTCTCCATACTAATTCTGAGAAAATTATTTCAGAAACGTTCAGGGCTAAAAAAGTAAAAAAGAAATGTTTTCCATGCTCTAGAGGCTCTGAGTAGACGGTGGCATCTTGCTGCAGCCAGGAGAGATGGAGCAGGGATCAGGAACTTGGTTCTTTTTTGCCCTCAGGTCACTGTCCAGGGAACACCTTTTCCTGCCAGAACAGCCAGTGTGTGACCAAAGTGAACCCGGAGTGTGACGACCGAGTGGATTGCTCCGATGGATCTGATGAGGCCCACTGTGGTCAGTCTCCTATCTGGCCGGTCTCTGGGCCACGTCCCTTTCCAGGGTCAGCTGCTGGCTCTGCTCTCTGGCCCACTGTGCACGTTACATATGGGCCCGGTATTCACTGTAGCTGGGCTGAGAAAAGCAGGGGGCGGGGGGTGGCCGGGCACCCATGATATGGCTGAACAGACAGGTCCTCACCAGACTGTGGGAAGCCTCAGATGCCAGGACCTGGAGCTCTGTCCTATATGCAGTGGGATTTGGGCAAGGGCATCTTACAATTAAAGTGCTGTAAGAGTAGCCAACATTTTCTAGCAATGCTAGCCCACACAATAGGGTAAGGGCAGCAGTTTAAGCGTGGAAAGGAAGGGGGAAAACAATCCTAATGTGCAGTGGATGTGATTGTCTATATAAATGAATTAATAAATTGACTAACCAGCTGTTAGAAAATAAGACCGTTCAACACTGAGACGAGAGTAAGATGAACATCAACACAAAGAAAAGCTGTTGCTGTGCTTTATACAAGGAAAAACAGATCAGAGGGTAAAAGGCAAAAAATCCCAGTTGTGATCAATAGCAGCAAAAAATAAACATGTCAAGCCTATAATGTTACACAGAATTATAAAACTTCACTGAAGGACATAAAAGTGGACTAAATTGAGACATAGCATTTCACAAAAAGATGTATGTATGAGAATTTTGAAACTTGCAAAATACATGGTGAAGGAGACATTTGTAGCGTGTGGCACCTGATGTGAAGGACGGTCTGTGGAGGCCGATTGAGCAAGGCCCCCCTCAAGGTCAGTGATTCACTGGAAGGACTCTCAGAACTCAGGTGTTCTCTGCACGGTTACAGCTTCTTCCAGTGAAAAAGTCATCAAAGGAAAAGGCGCACAGGGCAGAGTGTGGGCAAGACCGGGAGTGAGCAAGTTTCCCGCTGCCCTCTCCTGGCCCTGAACTAACTGTCCCAGCAGCAGCATGTGACAGCACACACAAAGTGTTTCCAACTTAGGGCAGCCTTGTGTCCAGGGTCTGTCCTGGGGGTTGGTCACATGGCCATGTAACACCGCACAGAGTCCCAGAGCTGCCAGAACGAAGTGCCGTAAACGGAGTGGCCAAAACAGTGGAAATGTCCCCTGTCACAATGCGCGGGGCTGGAGGCCCGAGGTCAAGGTGTCCGAGGGTCTGGTTCCTCCTGAGCTGGTGGAGAATCTGTTTCCTGTTTCTCTCCCAGCTTCTGGGGTTTGTTGGATGCCTGGCATTCCTTGGCTTGTAGAAGTGTCATCCAGATCTCTGCTGTCATGTTCACATGGCCTTCTTCTCGTGTGCAAGTCTGTGTCCAAGTTTCCCCTTTTCAGGAGGACACCAGTAATTGGATTTAGGGCCCTCACTCATGACTTCATCTTACTTGGATCATCTGTGAAGACCCTATTTCCAAATAAATCACATTCACAGGTACTGGGGGTTAAAATTTCAACATCTTTTCAGGGGTTGCAACTCAGCCCGTAACACTTAGTTTGCAGCCCCTCCAGAGGTCAAGCGGATCCCACATGGCCCAAGGCCATCAGTCACACTGTAGCATAAACTTTCTGGGCGACCTAATGCCCCAGGTAGACAGAGCTGCTCTTATCATGCAACATTCCAGGGGCTTAGAGAGCTCCTCCCAGGAGGTGGTCAAGGGCCGACCTTCTTTGAAATGTGCAATGTTTGGACAGTCCGGGGCTGCTGAGTTCACTGTTTACTGCATGGCAACATGAGCTGCGGTAGAGACATCAGGAGGGGCCCGTGGCGGGGAGGAAAAGGAGGAAAATGCCCACCAGACAGGTAGAAACACAAGAAAGCAAGGTGTTGGCCCTTTGGTTTATGAGTTAGCACAACCCCAAATCAAGTCAGAAGTGTGAAGTTCCTACCCGGACGTAGCCTTTGGCCAGGAACCATATGACAGATGTAATACGGCGAAGTCAAAGTTGCATGAAGGCCACCTGTGCTCGAGGCGGAGAAAGGGTTCCTGGTTGAAGGCGTTCTCGGCCACTCCCTGATGCATGCAGTCTTTGGGTGTTTGACCTTTGTCAGGCAGCTGGAGATGGGGCAGGAGGGGACAGGGAGACCCCAAAGGAGTCAGCAAAGCCAAGTGCAAGGGATCTAGAGCATGTGTTTCAACAAGAGGGCCAGGGGATGAGAGATTCCGCATGGACATGCTGGGAGCGCGGTCACGGCCCTGCCTTCTGGGGCTCCTGGTTGATGACCTCTGTCTTGCAGACTGCGGTCTACAGCCTGGCTGGAAGACAGCCGGCCGGATCGTGGGCGGCATGGAAGCGTCCCCCGGGGAGTTCCCGTGGCAAGTCAGCCTTCGAGAAAACAATGAACACTTCTGTGGGGCTGCCATCGTCGGGGCCCAGTGGCTGGTGTCTGCAGCCCACTGCTTCAACGAGTGAGCCCCACGCCCCTTGGTCCCACCTTCCTTCCCACTCTGGGAGCGCCACCTCTCCTGGGTCCACAGAGCCCTGTGGAGCTCTCTTCTTTTCCTTTCCTTCTTTCTTTTTTGTTGTTGAATCTGAATGTGTTCTTGTTATTTTTATTTTCAAAATCATGGTAAAATTTACATAACATGAGTTTACCACTTTAACCATTAGAATTCAGCAGCATGAAGCACACTCACACCATCATGCGACCACCCCCACCCTCCGTCTCCAGAACATTCCATCTCCCTAAACTGAGACTCTGTCCCCGTGAAGCACGGACTCCCCACCCCCACCCTCCGTCTCCAGAACGTTCCATTTCCCCACAAGGAGACTCTGTCCCCACAAAGCACGGACTCCCCACCCCCACCCTCC